CTTTATTGGTATGCATCTCACTTTGGATACGTGCATGTATCACAAAATCTATGTTGTCACCAACCAATCTAAAAAAGCATCAAATGAATATATATATAATCAAGTTTTCAACAGCTACAAGTAAGTTGTTAATTCATGCATTTAACCTCAAACTTTTATTTGAGGTTTGCCGTTTGCAGTAATCTTACTGTAAAGTGTTAGAAAAATCAAAGCAAATTTGGTATTACAGTAAAGGCTGTTAGATAATGTACCGTTCGGCGTAAAACACAGCCTCCCCCTCCCTCTCAACTGGAGAAGGCAGGGATAATTGACTTAGAGGGGTAGTAAAAAAGAAAATGTTGTCCAAGTCCCCCATGATTGGGGACATATTTACAATAAAAGATTACCACTTTCCCCGCCAAGTCCCCTCCCTCTCTGGTTTGGGGGGGGGGGGTTATTCTGACTGGTCCATAAGTCATATGTGAAGGCTAAAAAATGAAACTAACAAAACATAGCCTACCTGTAGTGAGGAAGTTTTTCACTAGTAAGCTTGAATAAGGCAGCATATAAATCATCATCAGTTAAATTGTCTTTCGCACCAGAGTCCAGAAGAGAGGCACAAAACTGAAACAAATGTGGTTTGTAGTGATCGTAGCTCATTATAGTTTCTTCTGAAAAATCAATTACTGAATCGACCATCATATCATTCTCATCACGTATTCCAATTTGTTTTTTTTTTTACCTCATCAAGCAACAACTTCGCCAAAGCATTCTTTTCTATTTCTTTTTTCCAGTGATAAATTTTGGCTTCGCTATTTTCTCCCATCTTTTTCTGGAACTTGATAATAGAATTCGGTGACATGCACAGGCCAAGCTTTTGCAAACGAATCAAGTCTTGGTGTTTCACTCCACTATGAAACAAGATCGTAGAAATTTTGTATGCAAGTGCAGACATCTTTTGATTTCTACATCTTGCTGCAATACCAGAAATCAAAGCCATAGAATTAATAGCCTTTACATTTCTTTTACGACTGACTGTATTAGCGTTGCATGCACCCTGAAGACTTGCATCCCAGAAAGGACACAGTGTTTGCACTTCACGAACTAATACCTTGTTTGAAAAGGCTAGAATGTCATCTGGAGATTTTCCAAGAACTATCGATTCCGATTTGTTGCCACAATATGCCGCAAATTCGTCTCTGACAGTTCTGCGAATAGGGCCAAGAAGTTCAGGTTTAAGTTCTGGATGTCGGAAAATAATATTAGACGCAGTCACCCAGTTTTTCCGCACGATGTTTATAAGCAAGCGTTTAGTATCTTCTCCAAATTTGCTGTAGGTTTTAATATGCTTACTTGGATCAATAATCACAACTTTCACTTCAGTAGTGTTATTGTCTAACAACTCTTCTACGTTTAATCTTGAGAGGATTTCGTCTGATGTTTCATTCTCAAGAGCTGATAGCACAGATTGTGCTTTTGTTTCCTTCGAAAATATTAAACTTTTTCTTGGTGTACAACATCGACCTTCCCGTTCGTTATTAACTCTGATACCTTTTTAACTTGTGGACTGCGATCAGGCGAAGAAACACTTGATGGTAATTGTCTTTTAAATCTGCCTGTGTCAGGTGAGTAGCTGCTGCTAACAGTATCTTGCGAGGTATATTGTTCTTCGTTTTGATTACGTTTCGACTCGTTTAAACTGTTCTTAATGAAGTAGTACAGCTCATGAGCGTTCCTTATCTTTCGCGCACATGACTTGCAAACTCTTTCAGATTTAGTGGAAGACTTTTCAAAATAAAATCCTAAGTTAATACCCAATTCTTGCAGCGTCTGTTTTCCGCCCTCGAAGTCCTTTGAATGCGCGAAGAGATTTTCAGTTGAGATGTACCATATCTTCTTGAAATCACCGTATATAATCTTAAAAGAACAACTGCACAACCTACAGAAATCGTTGACACTTTCAACTTTCGGTTTTCTCCCTTTCCTGGCCTTTTTTGTTGGAGTATTCATTAATCTCGTATTAAACTAGCCGCATTTAATATACAAATGACAGATGCTCACGTGTAGAAATTCTTGTTATTGTCATTATTGTTTAATATAAAACGCAACATCCAATTTACAATACTATGGGAGTGGCTAATTTTGAATATTTACTTAATTAATGACATCTATAAATAGCTTCTTCAGGGGCGGTAGTTCATTTACACCCAGTTTTGCGGCAGGCAGTATTTCCTACGGGTATGCCTGCCATGCAGGCTATGTCTTACACCAGAACTTGTCCAATTATCTTTTTTATACGAAAACCCCCAAAACGAACCCCCCAAAAAACAAAAAATGACTGTACTCAATAGATTAATATTTATAAGTAGATTGCAACATGTGCCAAGTGTCTCCCGTCCCAAGGCTTTTGGGGTGAAGACCCTGGGGCTGGGTATGTCGGTGAGCACTCTGTTCAATGTTATTAAACCTTGGTTGATGTTGCATAATCTAATTAGCTTGCAAACTATTTTTTCCTCTTCTCTATGTTATTTATATATTTTCACTTTTTTGTCTTCGCAAACAATTTGTTAAGGAATTTTCCATCCTCTTCCAAAAAAATAATGAATGGTTGGTCCCTTAGATAAATAGTTTTCAAATTTTCATTTACATATTTTTAAGAATTAGTTTCTAAGAATTAGTTTTTTAAGAATTAATGCACTGTGTAGTCTATATTTATATTTAGTATTATTTAATAATATTAGAAGACGTATAGCCCACTTTGTAGATGTATTTCTAATAAATTATTATTATTGTTAAAGAGCATGTACATTTTTACAGAATGAACTATATATGTTTTTTTTGTGTCTGTCTTTTGCTAGTTTGGTATTCGTGTTTATCTTTCGTCTTTTCAGATCTTGTGATTAAGTGATTTTGTCACACAATATACGGTTCCGGAAAGTATGTTACTTTGGCTATAGAGCCTTGTTTTCGTGTCTGCCATCAGTTAAAGGCCGCGTCTCAATCACGAAAACGAGGCTCTATAGACAAACCCAAAGTGACGTACTTTACGGAAGCCCATATTACATTTATCTCTAATTTAATTAATCTATTCATAAAATAATTTTACATCTGCAATATTTATCCTGTACGTCTATGTGGATATGACTATATGTATTTTGTGAAAGAGTTGCTGCCGGCCTTCAGATATTTAACAATCATTCGTGGAATGGGCGAGGTGATTATAGGGGAGGCGAATAGTTGCTTTAGTATTTTATGCTTTTTTTGGGACTGAACGTATTTTAATTTCGTTTATTTATTTATTAGTAACTTTCACAAAACGACTAGCTGTCAGTTTGAAAATTTAGGTTTTTATACATTCACCTGTAGGGTGCATGAAATTTACTGGGGTAAAATCAAAATGCTTTAGGCATATTACTATATGCCTGTAAAATTATCAGAATTTTCGATTTGTCTCTTGATTTATACTTTGGTATTATGAAATTATGAAAAATCGAGATAATATTAATTTATTAAAAATAATCTTCTTTGTTTGTTATGAGTATTCGAAATTACAGTGTGCCATTTTGTGCAAATTTACTTTCTCTATGCCTATGGCTAAATATTTTTTCTGTTTTTATTTTTTATGGCAATACATCCCCAGAATCTCTTTTAATACAGCACCGGTACTAAATCGTCGTCTAACAAAGCATCAGTACAGTGGCCACATGTTCACCTAAAAACAATACACATGTCAAACGAAACAAGCTAATCAGTAATTTGAGAAATACTTTGATATTATACTGCTTTGTTAAACTTACTTACCATGACTAACAAGTAACAGCTACGGTTTTCGCCTCAAAAGTTTCTCGCAGAATACCGTCTTCTGTTTCGACTTCCTAATATAGTCACTATAAGCAACTGGCTTGAACTGATAGGGCTACACACGGCATCCTGGGTTGTACACTGACAGACGATTGCTCAACAACGTCCTCGTTATCTGTTGACAGTTATGTATATGTCTGTGATTCAAAGCTTTTGCCGTATCGGATATTTTTCACGTTTTTTAGAAGAAATATGCAAGCTACTGTCTTGCAATTAGTGATATGTTTGTTGTTTTAATTCATGTGAACACTTCTATGTGTCACACTGCATACGTCACAAGGCCGGAACTCTATTTATCGTACATTTTATTTTATTTCCAATACTTTTAGAGCAAAGAACTTTTAGAACGTCAAGGAAGGCCGTTTCTTCCCAAATTTCGAAATTTTAATTTTTTCAATTTTCCTTGCATGCACACTTTAATGCATTTTAACAAACTTGGTTATAAAAATATTATTTTCTGTCATCATTTTATGCATCAAAAAGCCATTACCAAAATGACACTTTGCAATGATAGATAATATCTTATAATGGCATGAGACCATTGAAGAGACCATTGAACAGACCATACACGAAATTTATGGAAATTTTACTTCACCTAAGGAATTTTTTAACACATAATCAAAAGAGCATGCACGGGGAATTCATTTTTATAGCCACATATTTAACTTAAAGAAGAAGAATATAAAGAAAAACCTGCAAGTTATTGTGTTTTCCTCACTTAAAATAGTATCACACACTTTTCAAGTGCATTACATAATGTTTAAGTAAGTCGAAGACTTTAAGTATTATATTTATCAATAAGATTTATTAATGTACAACATACAATTCTAGCTATCGAAAGAGCAAACGTTTTCAATTTTCAGTATAAAGTAGAGTTAACTGGTATTAAAAATATTAATAAACAAGGTATATTGGCTGCAAAATTCAGTAAAAGGGGTCTGATATGGGCAGAGATAATTACAAAAAAATATTTGGTACAAAACAATATAGAGTATATGATAGAATATATTAGCACAATGCCAATGGATACAGGGCTAAATTGAATGTTTATACTAGGGATGAGATTTTTCATAAATTTTTATACAAGGATTTTCACTTTTCAGTGATTTTTCACTGATTTAATCTTTTTACTGTACATCATCTTACATGAAGCAAAGAAAATACTTAGGTACATTACAAACAGGTGAATTACTTGACTGAGTTATTGAATTACATAAATACACAGTGCTCATCTTACCAGTTATAGACATTTAATATACAACCATAGGAAGCAATTCTGTATTGGGGGGGGGGGGGAGGAGTGATTAGTCAGAGGCAAGTATTATTGAAGCCCCCAGCTCCCCCGGTTGCTACAGCCCTGTAATATAAAGTGAGCCCTTCCATACAGAATTTATTTTATTTCCATAGACTATGCCAAAGGTTGATCAGAGAGATGGTACCATTGGGTATTTGGATGGGGAGAAATTTGTTGCAATGTCATCTTTCAACATGAAGCTGATCAAGCATGTAACCTCTGCAGGTGGATCCAGTGGTTTTATCATTGAAATTACATGATCCTTTGACAATGTAACACGGTAAAAATTAAATCAAAATCATTTTAATGTGATATGGTACTTCTCATGACAGTGCAAATAGTTAATAACTGTACTAGGAAATAACAGGGTTTTTTCGTATGAACCACTACTAAATCTTTTATAGTACATGCTTTGCTTCTGATGACAGTATACAAACAAAAAAAGATTTCCTTAATGAAATCAATAGAAATGCTGGTCTGGGCAACCTTACTTTGCTTATTAAGGAAAATGAGTACTTGCACTTCTTGCAAGAAATAATTGGATCTTTTTACAGGTATTTATAATGTATCAAATTAATAAATCATATTAGCAGGGGGCCTGATGAACCTCAGGGCAACAGGGGCAGTTCCCCCAGGAGGGACGCTTTAAACAAACTTTCCAGTAGCCAGGGGTAACGAAATATATCGGCTGTCAGTCTAAGTATTTCCTCTGAAGTGTTTCTTTATGCGTTGGCCATCGGAATATAGTATAATATAATATAGAGAGTGAATTATAAACATAACCACATAAGCTTGACAGATGTAAGATAACGAGTTTCACAATTCTATTTTAAATACAACTATGGCTTTTGGCAGTTTTGCATATGTGTTTTTTAAAAGTCCAATTTTCAATGATCCGTGAATGCAAACGTGATGAGCTAAGCAGATTGTTGAATATGTTTTTGAAACGTTTTTAAGACTATATGAGGCTTTATTATGAAGATTTATTGTTATTTAAATGTCAAGATAGAAGAGAAAAGATATGCTTGGGACAGATGTAAGTTTAAAGCTTTAGTTTAATCGATTTTGTCATATTATTATTTTTATCTATGCAAACATAGCGATTTATTTCTATGTATTCAGTTTCAGATTGATGATAATTTTGTTGTTATTTATCGATATTAAATATTAATCCTGAAATCCCAAGCGTGTTTTGTGGTAATATGTTAGTTTCATGCCATCATTGTCGGTCCCAAGTATAAAAATAAGCTAAATCATATAATAAAAATGGCCAAAAAAATATATTGTGAAGAACATATATATATAAATATGATGCTCGAATGACATGGAAAACATTAAATGAAATCATGAATAGAAATAAAGTTAACTCATTAAGCGGCAAGCTGTTACAATGTTTCTACCCGCCTAAGGCGCAAGCAATATGGCGAATATGTGATTGAATTCAAGAGCTTTCACCAAAATGGCAATATCTCAGAAACAGTTGCATAAAAAAATCTGATCTTTTCAACCAAACATTAGTGATATATGATTGACCAAATTTAGTTTAAATGACTTTGCATACCTACATATATCATTAGTTTTTTCAATAAGAATTTTTATTTGTAAAGCAGTGACACTTTGTTTTTCATGTCACTCATCACCTAAAGGGGCAATATCTCCATAAACTTATATAAAAACCAACAAAAAAAATCATTTACTAAATTAGTACATATCTATATTATATACCCAATTTTCATCTTTTGCGATATGAATTAGAAAACGATCAAAAATTATAAAAAATACTCATTTGCTTTTTTCGGGCAAGATATTTACAACATGAAATTTAGAACAGTAACTAAGTGTTCAAATTCAACAA